AAGATCAGAATACCCTTGTAAAAATTAATGTAAGAGAACTGGGGTTCTGATATTCTATTTCTGTAGAATAACAGAATATCATAAAAGAAGAAAGCTCCTGATTGAAATAACAGAGAGAGAGAGAGAGAGTGAGAGAATTTCAGACTTGCTACTGAATTCTGAAATTGGAATGATATAAATGGCTGGATTCTGCCCCTATTTATAGACTTGTAAGCATCCGATCGGAGGGATTGTGACCCTTGATGGCACATGTACAACAACGGCTCAAATCTGGCCTCTGGATTTGGCTTCAATGATGGGGATCTTGTCTCACACTGAATAGGTGTAACAAATGGACACACCCTATCACGATTGGGTTTCATCTGCACTCACTAGATCAACAGCCACGATCGCATCTTATCATAATCAGACACGCAACTGTCTGATCAGTTGCACCAACTCACTGCCACATGGTGTTGATTGTACTACACATCAGCGCCACAACCTACCTACCTAGATCATGCCATGTCACTGCCACCAAGGTTTTTGTAGCAAATAGGACACCGCCTCCATGGAGCCTCATGCCAATATGTTAGTGCTAAGTGTTAAGTGCAGAGTGTGCCACACAGCCCACATGCCACACGGGTGCATGTGCGTGCATACTAGAACTCAATGGCTCTGATGCCCACCCAATGCCCTAGGAATAGGATTTTTGTCTGTCCAAAGGAGCAATTATCTTTCTTTGCATAGAGGCGATTCTTCCTTAATGCCTTAAAAAAGGTCCGGACGTGGTTAACGTGTCGTTTAATGAATGGCTATAGCCCATGATCAAAGTATACCACCAGTTATCTAAGTACGGGTGGAATAGCTCATTATAGAGGGTGCAGAACGTGGCAAGGGCATTGGTGAGTCCAAAAGGCATAACCAAATCATGGTAAATTCAGGAAAGCACAATCAAGGCTTTGCTTTGACATAAGGTTAATTAGGAGGGATGGCAACCATAGGAATCATATGAAAGGATATCTTGTACGCGCATGACACACCACAATTTTCTTCACAAGCCTACATTTCCTTATTCAAGGTAATCTTCCATGAAGAGCTTTATCAAGCCATCTCTTCTCTCATGTTTTCAATGTGGAACAAGCCACAAAGGCTAAAGAAGCTTTCTATGGAAACAACAAGAAAAGTTTTGACAAACCCAAAAACACAAATCGGCTTCATTTTCGAAAATCCCCAACAATCCCCTACCATTTTCAAAATAAAAGAGGTCTCAATTCTCTTGGTAGACTTGTGCATAAGTGAATGCTGTCTCGCAACTTGAATCACTTATGTTGTGTTTCGTTGGGGGATTTGAGGAGGGATTTAGAAAGGGAAATGGAAAAGATAGGTGAAATGTAAATAAAACATGCCTAAATTTCACCTAGTTTCACATACATTTTCCCTTTCCCTTTCCAAATCCCTCCTCAAATCCCCCAACCAAACACAGCATTAGTAAAACACATCAAAATTAGTCGAGATGGCATAGTAGACGTATTTTTGAACAAACGATCCACAATGACTAACTGTACATGTTTCACACACAATTGTATAAGTGACAAATGTATTCAAAATAGCTGACACATGGATTGGCCTTGCATCTGTATCCTGATTTCATGAGCGTTCTAAAGTCAAGCCCTTGGACTCATAGAAAGCGGCACCACCTCCTACATTCATATAAGTAAGCTTGTTGAGAGTACCTAATGCCGAACGACTATCAAGAAATCTGTTCAACTATTCGATTGATCTCAAAACCAGAATGTATGGAGAATTGATCCAAAGAGAAGATCAAAAGATTTAAGAATAATAAAGTGAAAATGTAAAATGGAGAAATTAGGGTTGAAAGTTAGGAGAAAGAAGAAGAAGAGAGAACTTTTGTATATATTGAAACCAATTAATTCACTCAACTTTACATCACTCAAATATATATAAAAAACCTAAAGTAGCAATATGACCATCGTTCCCTCAACTTAAGTAAATATTAACAAGAGAACAAAAATAACTAAAAGAACTATTCTAACACTCCCCCTCAAGCTGGAACATAGAGATCGAACATGCCCAGCTTGGCAGACAAACGAAGAAATGAAGGCCGAGCCAAAGGTTTGGTGAGAATATCACCCAATTGATGCTCAGAACGAACATAAGGAGTCACCAGTTGCTTGCGGAGTAAGAGATCACGAATAAAATGGCAATCAACTTCGATATGTTTGGTGCGTTCATGAAACACAGGGTTATTGGCAATGAAGATAGCAGCCTGATTGTCACAAAACATGCGCATAGGAGTGGAAACAGAAATGCCAAAATCTTGGAGAAGAGACTGAACCCAGAGCATCTCAGAAGCAGTATGAGCCATGGCGCGATATTCAGCCTCGGCACTAGAACAAGCAACAACGAACTGTTTCTTGCTCCGCCAAGTAACAAGATTACTGCTGGAAATTTGTGTTAATGCATATAATAAGATAGTGACATGTATATAATATGATAGTGGTGTTGGTGGTAGATAGTGGCATGTATAGAATATGATAGTGGTGTTGGTGGTAGATAGTGGCATGTATATAATATGATAGTGGTAGATAGTGGTAATATATAATATGTAAGTGGCATATAATGGGTTATAATGATGTTTGTAATATCTCCTATATAAGGAGTGTCATTTGGTCTTGTAAAATAAGAAGTTTGAATATAAGAGAAATATATTCCTTCTTCCTCATATTTTCGGAGTTCTTCTTCCTCATATTTTCTAAGTATTACCACCAACAAAAGAACAATAGCCTGAGGTGGAACGGCGGTCAGTCGTATTACCAGCCCAATCAGCATCACTGAAGCCAGTGACAGACAAGGAGGAAGATGGGCGATAGAGCAACCCCCGACCTGGAGCACGCTTTAAGTATTGCAAGATACGACATACAGCCACAAAATGAGGTTGGCAGGGAGCATGCATAAACTGACTGACCACACCCACAGCATAGGTAATATCTGGACGAGTGATAGTGAGATATATTAACTTGCCAACCAACCGACAATAATGACCAATATCAGGAAAGAAGTCGCCAGTGTCACCAGCAAGCTTGACACTAGAATCCATGGGAGTATCACTGGGGCGAGTGCCTAAGAGACCAGTCTCAGTAAGAAGATCAATAACATACTTTCGTTGAGAAAGAAACAAGCCCTGAGAAGAACGGGCAACTTCAATCCCAAGAAAATACCGAAGATGGCCCAAGTCTTTGGTGTGAAATTGTTGTCCCAAATACTGCTTCAAATCAGCAATACCATTGGAGTCACTCCCCGAAATGATGATGTCATCCACATAGACAATAAGAACAATACTCCCAGTAGACGAGTGGCGAACAAAAACAGAGTGATCAAAAGTGGAACGGTGAAAGCCATAGGCAAACACAACAGCACTGAAACAATCAAACCAAGCATGGGGGAACTGCTTAAGACCATACAAGGCCTTCCTCAATCGACAAACAAGATGCTCTTGGCCGGGAACAACATAGCCAGGGGGCTGATCCATATAGACCTCCTCGTGGAGATCACCATGGAGAAAAGCATTCTTGATATCCAGTTGATATAAAGGCCAAGACTGATTAACTGCAACAGAGAGAAGAATCCGAACAGAGTTAAGACGGGCCACAGGAGAAAAGGTCTCCAAGTAATCAACACCATAGGTTTGGGTGTAGCCTTTAGCTACCAGGCGAGCCTTAAGTCGCTCAACAGTTCCATCAGGAAGATACTTAACAGTATAAATCCAACGACAACCCACAATAGATTTGCCAGATGGCAGAGGGGTAAGGTCCCAGGTCTGATTTTGATGAAGAGCATGCATTTCCTCATCCATGGCAAACTTCCAACTAGAGATGGACATAGCCTCAAGATAGGTGCGAGGAATGGAAATACTAGACAAGCTACAAGCAAAAGAGTGAAGACCAGGAGAGAGGCGATCATAAGAAACGAAATGAGCAATAGGATGTTGAGTGCAAGTGCGTTTACCTTTGCGGAGGGCAATAGGAAGGTCATCAGATGGTAGAGCAGCAGGTGGAACAGGGGCCTCAGACGAAGGAGATGAACTGGTCGGTCCATAAGACACAATGCGACGAGCTTGAGACCGTTGATAAACCTGCAAAGGAGGGGTAGAAATGAGAGGAGATGGAGAGGATAGAGGAGTGGATGTGGAAGGAGCATAAGAGGGAAGAGTAGGAGTGTGAGAGGCGGACTCCCCCTCATGAGAAGAGAGAAGATCAGTAGATAACTGTTGCCCAGAGGAAGAAAAAAACGAAGTACACTCAAAAAATGTTACATCAGCACTGACAAAGTAGCGACGAGACTCGAGATGATAACACCGGTAACCTTTTTGAGTGCGAGAATAACCTAAGAACACACACTTGCGTGCACGAGGAGATAACTTATCCAACCCAGGGTCAAGAACATGGACAAAGGCCACACACCCAAAAATGCGAGGAGGCAAGGGAAAAAGGAGATGTGGTGGGATATAACAGAGAATAAGGAGATGTGTGTACAACACTAGAGGGCATGCGATTGATAAGCAAACAAGCAGTGAGAACAGCATCGCCCCAAAACTGTTTGGGGACATGCATATTAAACATCAGGGTGCGAGCAACATCTAGCAAATGGCAGTGTTTCCGTTCTGCAACACCATTTCGTGGGGATGTATGAGGACAACTAGTTTGATGAATAATACCATGAGCATCACAAAAGGTAGTTACAATAGATTGCACATATTCTAAGGCATTATCAGACCGAAATATCTTAATACGTTTACCAAATTGAGTAAAGATTTCATTATAAAACTGAGAGATGATGGAAGGCAAATCAGAGCTTTGTTTCATTAAAAACAACCAAGTCATCCGAGAGTAATCATCTACAAAAATAACAAAATAAAAGAACCCATTAACAGTGGGAGTTCTAGAAGGACCCCAAATATCTGTATGGACAAGAGCAAAAGACTCAGACACACGACTAACATTACGACGAGGAAAAGAACTACGATGATGCTTTCCAAATTGACAGGCTTCACACTCAATCTGAGAAACATGACTCAAACACGGAACAGCTAACTTGAGCTTGGCCAAGGAGGGATGACCCAAGCGAAAATGCCACTGAAGAGGAGATACACTAGCACTCAACACAGCAGATGGAGGAGGAGACGTCTCAGAGTCCAAAAAGTATAAGCCATCCTTCTCATGCCCCGAACCAATCATCCTCTTGGTCTGGAGGTCCTGCAAAACACATGAAGTAGGAGAAAAGGTTATCGAACAATGGTGAGCTTGAGTCAATTGGCTAACAGAAAGCAAATTAAATGAAAATTTAGGAACATAAAGACCAGAAGGTAAGAACATGGATGGAGTGGGATGAAGAGGGCCTTGACCACAGACAGGCCGAGAAGATCCATCAGCAAGTATAATGGTATGATCAACAGGTCTAAGAGTATCAAAAATAGAGGAATTACCAGAGACATGAGAACTAGCACCAGAGTCTAGGAGCCAAGGCTGAGAGGACTTAGCCACACATGCAATATTACCTGAACTAGCCATGGTAGCTGTGGAGGAAGAAGGTAGACTAGGTCGGAGAGACTGGACAAGAGTAGTAAGCTCACTAATTTGAGTAGTGAGTGTCTCATGCGAAGTAACAGGAGAAGCATCCGAGCCAATGGACAACAAGGAAGACTGTGAGGAGGGGACATCCATAACCTGATAGACATGATCAGGTCTGCCATGCTTTTGCCAACACCAAGGTTCAGTATGACCTTGGGAACCACAATGAGTACACTTGCGATCGCCACGTATAGGAGAACCAGGTCCACTACTACTTCCATCACGGAAACCACCACGTGAGCCACCACTACGAGAACCACCTCCACGAGAGCCCCGTGAACCAGAAGAAGAGCTCCGGGAACCAGAAGAACTATGAAAACGCCCGCGAGTAGACCCATGATCACCACTACTAGAAACCAATGCAAAAGATGATAAAGAAGAGGACCCAGCAGTGGATTGTGCTTGTCCCAATGAAGAGCGTAACAGCCTAGAATAGGCATTGGCAGCTGAAGGTAGAGTGTCACTGGCAAGAATCTGATCTTTGAACCCTCGCAACTCAGGATCTAAGCCAGAAAATAAAGAAGCCATCACAAACTCCTCCCAATGTTGTTTCTGGGTGGTCACATCAGTAGTGAAAGGTCGATGCTGCAGTAACTGATCCCAGAAAGTCTTAAGACTACTATAATAATCAAGGAGAGACCGGCCAAATTGACGCATAGCAAAAATCTGTTCATATAACTCGTAGACCCGAGAGACGTTACTTTGATTTGAAAAAGACTCAGCAAGGGAGTCCCTAATGGCCTTAGAGGTATCACAAAATTCCACGGTAGTAGCAACCTGTGGTTCCAGACTATGCCAAATCCAACCCATCACACAAGAATCCTCACAACACCAATCATCATAATCCTTATCATCAGTAGGAGGAGGGAGTTCACTAATATAGCGGGATTTCTTCTTACCTCGTAAGAAAATCTTGACAGCATGGGCCCAAGCCAAATAATTAGCACCATTCAATTTCTTTGTAGTAATAGATTTAGGCATGTCATCATCTTTACCCATAGTTATAGCCTTAGCCTCAATCTCAACCATAATGATCAACCAGACTTGCAAACAGCCAAAACCCACACCCACAATCACCAATATAAACACAGAACTAGCTCAACAACCAAGTTTGGACCCAAATGAGACCAACACATCAACTCAACAGTAACAATCAATAAAGAGAGGACAAATATCCCCTGCTAGAAGGGTTTTAGCCCTTATATAGGAGCCTTCAATAGGTAGAACCGAAGAACACAAGGTGACTGGACCAGAAACAACCAAAAATCGAATAGAATATCAACCCAACAGGAGTAAAACGACAAATTAAGATCAAGGACCCTTAGAGGGGTGATTTTCGGCTCCTAGGGAAGTGAGCCCAGCAAGAAAAACCAGGAAAAAATAGTCCCAAAGGCAGATTCAAAAAAAATAGTCCCAAAACACGAAATAGTTTCAAAAATCGAAAACTCACATCAGGGATGATCAAAAAATTTCACAAAAATCACCATAAATCTCAGGAGGCAATTTCGAGTCTAGGGGTAGAGGACCCGTCCGTACACTGCTTACGTCATGCTGACGTCATCGTACGGCTGATGACATCAGCACGTCTCGGTCACCTCAGATCGATCTTTAGAATCTGTAGAACCCTTTCTAATGAAGAAGAGATTGCTCTGAAGTGAAAATGTAAAATGGAGAAATTAGGGTTGAAAGTTAGGAGAAAGAAGAAGAAGAGAGAACTTTTGTATATATTGAAACCAATTAATTCACTCAACTTTACATCACTCAAATATATATAAAAAACCTAAAGTAGCAATATGACCATCGTACCCTCAACTTAAGTAAATATTAACAAGAGAACAAAAATAACTAAAAGAACTATTCTAACAAATAAAAAGAGAGAATAAGAACACAACATCAAAATCCTAATCTCAAAATAAAAAAAATAAAAAAATAAAAAAAATGGGCCACAACCTTAACTCAATATTATTATTTCAAAGCTACCATAAAATTATTACATAAAGCCATATATATATATAGCCAACGTAGGAAACCCTAATTAAGTTAGCAAAATAGAATACTACTCTAATAAAACTCTAATTTAAATTAAAACTTATAAATAAATAAAAGGGTAATTCTATTTACACACCCTCAATCCTCTCAGTATACACCATCTTCTTAAATTTTTTTATTACAATTTTATCCTTTTAGTCAATTACATTTTTAACCTTACACAAATCAATCAAGGAGAGATGTTTGAGACAAAGTAGTTTCCATAGGAGAAGATTTGACATATAAAGTTGAACTGTAGAGTGCCATATCAGGTAGAGACGTTTGAGGCAAAGCAGCTTCCAAAGGAGAAGACTTGACATTTAGACCAGAGGTTATGATCACTTTTGGATGATAGAAACATGCATAGGCAACATGAATATCAACAAATAGTCATGATACTTGTCAATAGATTAAGTGTGTAGATGACTGGATGAAGTGACCACATATTTTCCTAATATTGACCCACTTTGGCTCAAAAGTGAAGATGTGGATCACATAGCCTAACAATTTCCTTTTCACAAGAAGTTTCATATTTACCAAGTTCATGAGTTGAGGGTTCATATTTAGGTCTTATATCTCTTGAAGTACACTTAGTTCGTATCAACTTTATTTTCTAGTGACCATCCTTAAAAACATAGGTATTCTCCCTAACAGAGTGTTGGGATTGGGAATCTACATCATAAATCCAAGTACAACCTAGTAGCACATGAGCTATAGTCATGGGTAAGACATCACACATAATTTTGGCCAAATAACTACCCAACTGAATGGGTGCTAGACAATACTTAGAAACAAGCAATGATGTCTAATCTATCCATGCAATCAATCTAATATGGCTGAGGATGAGGTTCGGGCTTGAGCTTGAAACTAGCGATGGCGGACTTGGACACCACATTAATGGAGCAACCTCCATCAATAACAAGTTGACAAATTTTATCCTCATTTAATAAATGCAGGAAAGATACTCGGACATACCAAGCCTCAATATCAGAATGGGTAGGAGTAATATATTGCATCACATTAATGCAAGCATATGGGTTCTTAACTGTTTCCTTAAACCCCTCTAAGAGACTCATGGTAGACACTCAAACGGACTCAAATTTGATCAAATCAAATAATAGACTTCTTGTAAATTTCACAAATTTCCAATGAATAAAAATATTAAAAATAACTTTTGAATGGAAGTATGCATTTTTTTTTTTTTTTTTTTTTTTTTTTTTTTTTTTTTGGTAGTCTAGTCCAAGTTGCCCTTGATGCTCCAATATATGTGCAATTGGTCTCCATTCAAAAATCCAAACTCTTCGATTGGCACGATTCCCAATAAAAAAAATTTCACTACTGATTTTTTCCCCTTGCAAGATCTTTTATTGAAGGATCAACCAAGTTTTGACTTGACTTTACACATCCAATGGTTATTACCCAATCTTTAATTCATTGTTTGACATAGCGATGTCTGAGTCCTATATCTCTAGACTTACCATTGTAAACCTGGTTGTATACTCGTGATTGCTTTGCCTCAGTATCACAATGCAAAGATATTTGTGGCATAGGTTTAGGCCACATCAGAATCTCCATTAACATATTCCTAAGCCACTTTGCCTATGCACTACTAGAAACCAAATCCACAAAACTCTGATGTCATGGTTGAGTTTGTAAATTATTTTTTGCTTCTTTGAGGCCCAGTGGATGCTCCTCCACTAAGTGTTGCGAACATGTGGTCATCAGCTGTGTTACATGGACTCGTTGGCTTCAGCTGCGACACAACACGACACGACACAGATACGGGTGTGGGACTCGAGTCGAACACAACAACCTTGTGATGGACGCGGCTGACCATAGACGAAGATGACGATGAAGACAGAGAGAAAAGTGAAGACGAAGATGAAAGTGAAGACAAAGGCGAAGGAGAAGAAGGAGAAGGAGGATCAAAGATATGCTTACCTGTATGTCATTGCTTCGGAGCCGATGATGAACTTCACTGGTGGCGCTAGGGTTTTGAGATGATGAACTTCACTGGTGGTTTCGAGATGATTTCACATGTGGCTAGGGTATTATTTGTGAACTCCGCTTCAAGCCCTATTTTAGTAATGGGCTAGAGTTTTATGAAAATATATATATGCTTAAGCCCAAATACTTAGCCAAAAATAATCCAATATAAAATACCAATGGCCCCGTTTGGTAAAGCTGTGGGAAAGTGATTATAACTTATAGCCTAACAGCTTATAGCTTATAACTGTGAACATAAGCTGATTTTTTACTTATAAATTAAGCTTCTCCTCCCCCACTCAAAGAATAAGTTGATTTTTGACTTACAAAAAGCTATAAGCTGTATTATTAAGCTGAACCAAACACATCAAAATAACTTAAATTAAGCTAAAAGCTGAAATAAGCTGGAAATAAGCCCTACCAAACAGGGTTACTGTTGAGTTCTCATTAAGAAAAAAATCTCAACCCAATAAAAAAATAAAATTTGGGCCCTATTAAATCTTATGTGGAAATTATTCTTTAAATCTTGTGTAATTATTCTTTAAAACTCATCATATATTTTTAAATATATATATAAATAAATGCATCCCCGTACCCGTATCCAACATTTTATTCGTGTCCCCATATCCTAAAATTAAAGAAAATGGAGAATCTAACTCTTAGACACGTATCAGTGTCGGACACATTTGTCGAGTCCATGTAACATAGGTCATTACACTCAATTATCCAACTGGCATCCATGCACCCTTCAAGTACAGTTGGATAATCGCTATAGATTATTCCATAATCTATAGTCTTCCTCATATACTTCAATACTTTATTCACTACATGCCAGTGAATATTACTCGGGTTATTAGTATGTATACCTACTAAGTTTTCCCACAACATATGCTATATCTGGTCTTATGCAGGTCATGACATACATTAGGTTGCCTATCACTCTAGAGTATTCTAGTTGTTCTACTGCTCTGCCTGTGTTAGGTTACAACTTAAATCTATGAGTCAAAAGGTGTAGACACAAGTGTGCAAATAAAGTGATTAAACTTTTTAAGAATTTTCTCAACGCAATGAGACTGGGTAAGAATCAAATTACCATCTTGTCTCTTGATTCTCATTCCTAATATTATATCAGTAACACCCATGTCTTTCATGCTAAACCTAGATGACAGAAGATCTTTAGTACTTTGAATGCTATCTTGGTCAGTGCCAAAGATGAGAACATCATCCACATTCTAGCACATTATCACACCTTATTATTGCAAAATTTGCTATCTATACATTTGTCAGATTCGTGCATCTTAAAATCATTTGATAAAATTACGTTAGCAAATTTCCCATGCCATTGTTTAGATGCTTGTTTAAGGCCATAAAGTGACTTCATACTTTATGTTCTTGCCCTTGCACAACAAATCCTTTTGGTTGCATCATGTAGATCTCTTCGTCTAACTCACCATTTAAGAATGCCGTTTTGACATCCATCTAGTGAATTTCCGACTTATTGATAGCTGCAAGAGCAATTAGTACTCTAATTGCAAAGATCATTGCCACCGAAGCATAAGTATCGAAGTAGTCAATAACCACTTTCTAGGAATAACCCTTTGCAACTACCCTTTAAACTTATCGATTGTACCATCCACCTTCATTTTTGCTTGAAAATCCATGTGCATCCAATGAGTTTAGAACCCGGAGGCAAATCAACAAGGACCCATGTATCCCATGATAGAGTCCATCTAATCTTGTTTGACCTCTTTCCAAAAGCCTACATTTTGAGATTTCATAGCCTCGTCAAAGGTTAATGAATTTGATTCCATTTAGTGGGATCACTGTTTGTTTTATGGTGTCTCTAGTGCCTTAAACTAGATAAACTACATAGTCTGCACCAAAGGACTTCTCTGTTCAAGCCCTTTTACTTCTTCTAAGTTCCACCTCTTCGGCAAGTTCACTGTCTTTATTAGAAATTAATGGAAGAGGCCCAATACTTTCATCCGAAACATTTCTAGGGATAGATGTGAACCTATTCTCATAGAACACTGCATCCCTTGATTCAATGATGGTATTGACATCTATTGAATCATTTGGCTCAATAATGAAAAACCTGTATACTTTACTATATAAAGCACAACCAACCTACAGCCCCAAGTTTTAAAATAACTTAGGTTAGGTGTCTTCTTTTTCAATCATATAAAGTAATACATGTTTTCTTAGTAGGTACTCTATTTAAGAAATGACAAGCCATACATAGAGCTTCGCCACAAAAACCACTACTTAAACCAGAGTTACTAAGCATAGCATTAACCATTTTGGTTAGTATCCTATTCTTTCTTTCAACTACTCCATTTTGTGATGTTGTACAAAATGCAAACTTTTCATGTATTATCCCTACTATTTCACAGTACTCAGGAAAGTGGTATTCACAGTTGAAAAGCCCAGCCCACACTTCTCCTTAAAACCCAAGTATTAAGAAGAGGGAAACTAGAGCCTTATAACTAGCACAGATGGGGCAACTCCAAGCGATGTGGGACACATTCCAACACACCCTCCTGGACCACAATACACACTAGCTAGACAAATAGCCCACCAGTCATAGGCCCAACCAAGTTCTGATACCAAGTTGGTCTTGAAGGCGACCAATCTAAGATTGAAGCTGATGAAGATCAATAGAATGAGTCGGCTGAGGAGTGCTAGAGGTGTCTGCAATAGCAATATGGGAAAAGCCTGAAGGGAGTGCCTTTGCAAAGCGTTGCTTTAACTCAGGATAAAGCTTGAAGCACCGTGCTTGGACATGACCAGCTGCACCACAATGGTGACAAATAACCTTGCTACTAGAAGCATGAGAACTAAACTTGGCAACAAGAGCCATCTGGTTTGAAATGGAAGATGAGGCAGGAACAGAGGAAGGAAGCGGAGCCACCGGTTGAATCAATTGACGACGGCGCTCCTCCCTATCAATAGTAGCAAAAGCCTCATATAATGGCATAGGTGATGTGTTCAAAATCTGAATACGAAGAGACTTGAATTCAGGTTTTAAACCCATCAGAAATTGATAAGTGTGCGGGCGAGCAAGACGAGCAGACACAATAGAAGTGGCAACAGCTGGAAAATCACTCAATGGCTCATATTGTGCTAACTCCTCCCAACGAGACTGAAGATACCCAAAAAAATTCAACAACGGTGTAAAACCCAAAGCTTCCTGAGTGGCATGAGAAATATCCTGATAGAGCTCGAAAATCCTAGCATCATTGTAGGCATGTGCGTACATCTAGGTAAGAGAACTCCACAACCGAGGAACTGTATCATAGTACATAAACATGTTGTAGATGCATTCTACCATAGAGTTGAACATCCAACCAAGTAAGGTGCAATTGTCAATATCCCATTGAACCCGCTTAGGATCATCAGCGAGAGGTTGCATCTCAGTTTCCAAAAGCCATCTAGATTTGCCTCTACCCCCAAGGTAGAGATGGATAGACCAACTCCAAGCCGCAAAGTTGCGACCAGTGAACAACACTGGTAATCCGATGAACCGGAACATGGGAGGCCAAGGATACATCTGAACGAGGCATAATGCTCTGAGTTTGTGTAACAAAGTCAGACATGCTGAAACACCATGAAGCCAAAGTAGCGGCGTCACACAAAAGAGATCCTACCGAACACACCGGTAGCCCAACACAACAGAAAATCAAACTAGAAAGTGCTTACCACATCAGCACATGAACCCTAGAAGGGTAAAGAGAGAAGAATAACACCCAGGAGGGGAAACCGCACTAGACCCAAGGCAGGGAGGGTCTAGTCGGCACCTAAGGAAGCTGCGGCAGTGTTGAAAAGGGACTGCCAAGGGGTTGAGAAGGAGGAGGAAAACTTTCAGCTAGGTGGAGGGAAGAAGGGCTGTCGGGTGGCTGGGTAGGTGGTTTGGGGCTGCCGGCAATAGAAGACAATGATGGTGGGTGGCTAGAGTTTGGCTCTAATACTATGTTGGAATGTGTCCGACATCGCTTGGTTGGGCCTGTGACTGGTGGGCTATTTGTCCAGCTAGTGTGTGTTGTGGTCCAGGAAGGTGTGTTGGAATGTGTCCCACGTCGCTTGGTTGGGCCTGTGACTGGGTGGGCTATTGTGGTCCAGGAGGGTGTGTTGGAATATATCACACATCGCTTGGAGTTGCCCTATCTGTGCTAGTTATAAGGGGACACATTCCAAGTGATGGAGCAACTCCAAGCGATGTGGGACACATTCCAACACACCCTCCTAGACCACAACACACACTAGCTAGACAAATAGCCCACCAGTCACAGGCCCAACCAAGCAATGTGGGACACATTCTAACATTCACTACCTCTGTTGGACCTAAGCCATGTGATCTTAGTTCGACCTTGATTTTCTACTTCAGCTTTGTAAGCCTTAAACTTGTCCACAACTTCATTTTTTGAACGCAACAGATATACACAACAAAGTTTTGAATAGTCAATCTATGAATGTAGCAAATTACCTTTTACTGCCTCTAGTAGAGGTACTATGCATATCATACACATCACTGCTCTCAAGTTCCAACAAAGTATTGCTTTCTATTTTAGGAAATGGCATTCTGGTTATCTTAGTTTGCATACATACTGTAGATTTATGAACTAAGTAGGAATTAATTTTTATTTTACCATGTCATTCATTTTCCTAGTATTAACATAAGTGAGTATGCCATAAAGAAAGAGAGTCAAGCATATAAGTTGAACTGTGAATTTTATTGATACTTATTAGTTTAAACATCCTTCATGGATATAACCTTTTCCAACAATGGTACCACCCTTAGACAAGACAAATTTATTTGACTCATGGTGACGTCTAGGGATTGAAGTTACAAAAAAATATTTAGTGATCACATCGATGATATTACTTTATTTTTTGGCTTTTCATAATGAAGAATTTTTACGAGGACGGAGACCATCAAGGAAAACAGGACCTTGTATGGATTTTCTCCATGTATATCTTTATATCATAAAATATACATGTTAATGTTCAAGATAGAGAAAGCTCCTCGCATTCCCTCAAATGAGAGAATGAAGATTTGATTAGCTTGTTTTTTCACTAGAAAGGGGGATCTATTTCTATTCTAGTTTAACAATCCTTCCTTGTCCATTTATTCTTTGTTGTTGGTTTAATGTTTAATGCATTAACCATTCACAAGGAAGATGTGCCTGCTAATGTAGCAACAATGTATCCAAGAGGGAAGGAATAACTTAGTAATGACATTGGGTAAAATCATCAACTTCCCCTTTGCAATCCAATGTTCTCCATGTATGGGTAAATGTAAGTAAATTACCTGAGTAAAGATAGCCTTTGCTCTAGACACACGCAAACGAGTCGCAATTTCCTTTGCTGCAAAGCTGTCAGCTATTGATACAACAACAAATCCTGATAATACAATTGCCAAGTATATAATGACTGCAGTGACTGTCATGGGCATATCAATTGCAATTGCATCTCCCTTTGAAAATATTGCGTCTAGTGCACTAGCCACCGACCTGTTCAGTATTTGTAAATACATCAACAAAGGGAGAAAAACTAAAGGGATAAGGATAATGTATGCTAGAAAGTATAAAAAGAGCAACAAGGTATGTGAAAGTGAATGATATGTTATTACTAAAAAAAATAAAAATCATTCATTCTACATTTGTTAGTGTATATAGCAAACTACAACTTGCATTTAAAGTGAAACTATGCATTCATAGCATTACTGCTTTACTCATACCCTAACACTGCTAAAAAGTCATGCAACGTAATATACGAATAATTACGATGAAGATAAAGGCAGAAAATTTTAAGTATATATTACCTACCTTGGAGTTCTTATAGTTTGATCCGATTAGTGTAGAAATCATCACAAGCTTCATCACTCCATAGAATGGATTGGTCTGATAGCAAACAACAATGGAGTAATGAAGTTTGTGATGATGTTGACATGTAATGCAACTCTATGCAACAAAATATGAACGGTCAACAATGGAGATAGAAGTGGTTAAATGACAGCATACATTACTTGCTCACGGAGCTCTTTTAATGTCATTTGATTGACATGGGAATCATCACAATCTTCATTTCTCCATACAATGGCTAAACTGTCGTCCTGCTTTCTTGGATATTTGGTTGCTTGTAAACAACATTCAGCAATATTCAAAACTGAACCAGGAAGCCATGTTCCCCCGTGTTTAGATTTGTCAGAAGTATCCAAAATGCAATTTGGGACTTCACGAAATTGAATAGAAAGCTCTTTTAGTATAAATGACCAGTAAACCTGAAAATTGTTGACACTATTAATTTAAATGAAATCGGAGTCGAAATGTGTACATGTAAACAAAGACTTGCCTCAGGATGCTGAACAGTGAACTTCTGAAATAGGCTAAAACTTGTTATGGGATCCTTGTATGATGCACCTAAAAGCTTTGAACCATGAGTTTCCATGAGGCGGCCCAAGTTTGTGTATTTGGACTGATTTCTGACAAGTAATGAACATTAGGATTAGTTGCAGTTGAAAGCAGAGACGCATACTAGAGGTTAACTATTTCAGTAAAAAGTTATGACTTATGATAAATTAGTACATGATCTCAGAACATAAAATAAAACAAATTCAAAATGCATCAAATCCACATTGTGATGAATAACTGAGGGAAAAAACACTATTTATTCAATATCATTTGAAAAAATGATAGTATTGCCAGTAAATAGTATCCTTTACTACTTTATATGATAAGGGATTCAAGTTGAACGTGTTAAAAAGGAAATTTGGTAAGTCAAAAAGAACATCAACATGCACCAAGGATCTAGGAGATGATAGCTTTGGATTTATTCCTAGGTATGGGTTTGCATATAGTTAACCAGAAAGCCATTAGGCTCTGTTTGGATGGATGTGCATTTGAATTACATGGATTTGACATTAATTATTCAAGAAGAATAACTCAAATGTCAAATTAAATTAAAAAACTTTATCATGATGAATTTGAAATAACTCTAGAAAAGTAGTTATTTGAAGTCATGGTTAAGGGATCCTTGTAGCTACAAAGATCTTCCTAAAATACATCAAAGTTTTTCAAGGCGAATGTGTAACGTGAGGCATTTTACCTCTCATGAGATGAGGTGTAAGCCTTAAAGCGTTGAGGCGTAAACATTTCAAATTCTGAATTTTTATATTTAGTAATAATTTAAATATTTTAAAACAATAAATAAATTCATCAAAATTAAATATAAAGGTGTAAATACTTTTATGCTCAAGGCTCATTGCAAAAAAGGAAGCTTTGCTTTTTTTAAAGTGAAATTGGTGTTCTTAGCTGTAGTGATTGAGCTTTTCAATGAGCGTTAACTATGTTTTTTCTTGATTTGTCATTTACTTTAATTTTTCCTATAGATCGCAAAAGGAGTTCTTTTTTATATTTAAACCATCTACTAGACTAAGTTTAACAAGAGGCTAAGACAAACTCTTCATATGCGTACTCCTCACATGCTTATGCATAAAAGACGTACAAGACGCACCTAAGGCGCATGTCTCAAGACTGTGTGTGCAAGCCTTTGGAGAGTAAAGCCTAAGAATCAAAGCCTTGAGGTGTTTTGCCTTAGCCTCGCCTCAAGGCGAGCATCGAGGCAAGCCTCAATAAAGCCTTTTAAAACTTTGAAATAAATCTCTTTATCTCAATTTATCTTCATCTATAGCTTTTCTCTACACCTATAATAATTAAATCTCCAATATTTTTAACCTCAAATCACTTGATTTGAAATCCACATACGGGGGCCTTAATACCTAGTTGGGACTTAGGTTAAGGGTTTTTAAGTTTGTACGAACATTTTACGTTCCAGCATAGTTTCTTATTATAGTATTCGATGGTCTATTTAGGCTTGTTCCCACTCTAGTTATTGCTTTATCAAATTCACAAGTAAACAAAGCAACAAGACATATGCACGACATTATGGTAAGCAGATTCTAAAGTAACATTTCAAATTTTTCTTCACAATCAATAATGAAATAAAAGTCAATTGTGTCAGCATTGTGCAAAGTAACCACACTAGAGAAATCATACACAGCACTGTGTGTTAGCTGGCCCTATCCTAACAACATGGCTCCCTTTTTTTGGGTCATGAATTATATAGTTTCCTAAATGATCTTGCTTGCTTGCTGGGGGTGGGCAGGCATCATGCCCTGGACCAGACCAAATGAAACCACAACCCCAGACCGGGTCACATAAGCCTAGCCCTCAGTCTATTTCCACAATAAATGTTATATATGTACTTAGAAAGAAAACTAATCACACCTAGAAAAATAATAATTAGGGTCTGAAGGGGGACCAATACTGCGAAACATGTATTTTATATTATTGTTATTTTGTCTTTCACTTAAGGGTAGTTTAGTCCTATTCTATGCAATTAGAACTTTAGGGTTCTGGCAGTTTACTTATATATATTGTACTTCAGTTTGCTAATCATTGAATAATACACAACATATTATCTTTGTTAATATGGTATTAGAGCCATAAATCAACAGCCTTAGCATGTAGGTGTAGCATCTCTGAATTTGTCCTCTTCTACCTCGCAAGCATGTGATTGCAGACCCAAAGATTTGTCTCCAGCAATTCAAACTCCTTCGCAGGTCCAGTTTCGTAGTCGTAGCTTTCTCGCGACCCTTCACGAGCCTTCTTCAGCCATCGCAACCCTCACAGGAGTTCTCTCCAGCCACTCACGAGTCATTCAGGTATTTGGGTTGAAGATTTCGATCCATCTCTCTATGGGTATTTGACCCACTGATCAGTTGGCAATTTTGCCGGGGTTGCTTAACAACTCCGCCGGTCCCAAGCCCAGATAAAGGAGAAGGATTGTGTGTTAGATAGCCAACAACCAACACGTAAAAAAAGCCGCTTGGATCCTTCATGACATGAAGCCTAATACTCTGAATCGATTAAATGCTAGGCCATTCCCCTTAATTGACGCGTTGCGCCTGCCTCCGGGTGCTTCGAAAAGTGAGCAAGAGGTGCCGCATCGACGCCTGGGTGTGGTGAAAAAAAGGCAAAGATTTTCACGTTTTTCTAGACGAGTGCGGATAAAGACGGTAGTCCAAGATTATAGGTTTAAGGTAGCCACATGGAATACAGGAACTTTAACTGGTAAGACTATGGAATTGGTAGATGTCATGATTAGGAAGAGAGTTAGTATAGCTTGCATACAAGAAACTAAGTGGACGGGTGAGAAAGCTCGGGAAATAGAGGATACCAATTTTAAGCTATATTACAGTGGCAAGAATAGACATAGGAATGGGATAGGAATAAAAGTTGCCAAGGGTCTTGTAAAAAATATAGTTGTGGTCATTAGAAAAAGTAATAGGATTATGTTAGTTAAAATAGTTATCTGAGAGAATATACTGAACATTATTAGTGCATACGCCCCCCAAATAGGATTAGATGATCAGACTAAAAGAGTTTTTTGAGACCAAATGGATGAGGTATTACACGAGATACCCGTAGGAGAGAACCTAGTTATAGGTGGTGATTTCAATGGCCATGTAAGAGTAGATAAATTAGGTTATGAGAGGGTGCATGGTGGGTATGGTTTTGGTGATAAAAATGAGGCTGGAAAGAGTATTTTAGATTTTGCGTTGACTTCTGACCTAGTTGTGGCCAATACTATGTGTAAGAAGAGAGAGGAGCATTTGATAACCTTCAAGAATGGGTCAATTAGGAGCCAAATAGATTACTTTTTAGTAAGGAAAGGAGACCGTCTAAAATGTAGCAACTTTAAGGTGATTCCTAGAGAGAGCTTGATGTCTCAACATAAGATTTTGGTACTAGATTTATGCTTTAAAGGGCAATACCAAACTCGGAAAGATAGTAGGCATCGCAAGACTAGATGGTGGAACCTAAAAGGGGATAAACTAAACACATTTAAGAATAGAATGGATAAAGAAGGTACTTGGACTTGGAATATGATGTTAACATTATGTGGAACTTAATAGTCAATTGTGTGAGAAGAATCTTAATGGAAGTTCTTGGAGAGTCTAAAGGAAAGAAACCCTAACTTTAGAGAAACTTGGTGGTGGAAAGAGGAGGTCCAAGCAGTAATAAAGATGAAAAAAGAGAGCTTTAAAAAGTGGCAAAATGATAGCACTGAGGAAAACCTTAAGCGCTACAAATTGACCAATAAGGAGGTCAAAAAAGTAGTGAAAGAGACTAAGTTAAAAGCCTATGATGACCTATACACTAGACTAGATAGTAAAGAGGGAGAGAAGAGGATATACAAACTTGCTAAGATAAGAGAGAGGAAAATAATAGATTTTAATCAAGTTAAATGCATCAAGGGTGAGGACTCTAAGGTGTTGGTGAAGGATGAAGAGATTAAAGAGAGGTGGAAGAACTATTTTGATAAGTTGTTAAATGAGGAACATGGAGGTAGGTCAAAAGGGGAGGAAGTAGGCAATAATAAGGAAAACCATGACTAGAGGTTTTATCGTAGGATTAGGGCCTTTGAAGTGGAGTTTGCACTTAAGAAGATGAAATTGAATAAGGTTTTAAGACCCGATGATATACCTATTGAAGCATGAAAATGTTTGGGTAAGAAGGGGGTTGTTTGGTTGACTAGGTTATTTAGCAAGATTTTGTTGACTAGAAAAATGCCAAAGGAGTGGAAGAAGAGTATTTTAGTGCCAATATATAAGAATAAAAGAGATGTCTAGAATTGCAACAACTATAGAGGAATCAAGTTAATGTGTAAAAGTGTAAGAGAGAGTGATGGAAAGTCGATTGCGAGATATAACAGAGGTATCAGAGAATCAATTAGATTTATGCCTGGTAGGTCAACAATGGAAGCGATCTATCTTTTGAGGAGAGTAATAGAAAAGTATAGAGAAAAGAAAAGAGACATTCATATGATTTTTATCGATCTTGAGAAAACATATGATAGAGTATCTCGGGATATAATTTGGTGGGTGTCAGAGAAGAAATGGGTAACAAAAGGTTACATTGATGTGATTAGGGATATGTATTAACGTGTGATGACCACTATTAGATTGCCTGTTGAAGAGACGAGTGAATATCCAATTACTGTAGGGTTATACCAAGGATTAACCTTAAGTCCTTATTATTTCGCGTTAGTTATAGATGAGTTGACACGCAATATTCAGGATGATGTGCCATGGTGTATGCGTTTTGCAGATGATATCGTGTTAGTGGGAAGACTAGAGAAGGAGTTAACATTAAGTTGGAGATTTGGAGAAAAGCACTTGAATCTAAAGGATTTAGGATAAGAAGAATTAAGATAGACTATATGGAGTGTAATTTTAGTAACAGTCACAATGGAAGCAGACAAGAACTACATAAGAGTGAACATTTTCGTTATTTAGGATCGATTATCACAATGATTAGGGAGATTGGAGCGGATGTGATCCACAGAATTAAGGCGGGTGACTTAAGTAGAGGAGTGCATCTGGAGTAATGTGCGATAAACACTACCCATTAGACTAAAAGGGAAGTTCTATAGAACAACTATTAGACCAACGATGTTGTATGGAACGGAATGTCGGGCCACTAAGAAACAACATGTAGATAACAACGTATAGATAAGATAAGTGTTGCTAAGATGAGGATGCTAAGGTGGATGTGTGGCAAGACTAGAAAAGACAAAGTTAGAAATGAGCATATTCGAGAATGGCTAGGAGTAGTACTGATAGAAGATAAGTTAAGAGAGAATAGATTGAGATGGTTTGATCATATACAACTGAGACCAACAGAGGCAGTAGTGAAGAGATGCAATACAGTGACGGTAGATGGTAGTGTTAGCGAACGGGGTAGACCTAGATTGACGTGAACTAGTATAGTAAAAGAGATATGAATCTCCTTAATTTAACTAACGAAATGGCCTTGGATAGAGTCGAGTGGAGAAGAAGGATTCATGCAGCCGACCCTATTTGATGGGATTTAAGGTTTGGTTTGGTTTGGTTTGGTTTGGTTTTATCAATCGGCTTCTCCTGCTCTCTCCTTGGTCGGAAGATTTTGACCTATTTGGTGTGTGAGGGAAAATTTCTACTTCAGTTTCTTCCCTAGTTTATTCAACTTTTGCTTCAGTGGTTTTGTTTTCTCTGGTTAGTTCTTCATTGGTTAGTATTTTGGGCTAGTTATAACTCTACTTTCGTTTTGCAATATATCTAATGATAAGATACGTGCATTAGTATTCGATTGGATGGGTTTAACTACTCGTATTGGTCTCATGTTATGAAGAATTTAATAGTAAGCAAAGGCATGTAGGGTTATGTTATTGATTCCACGAAACGAGCTGATTAATCTAATGAAACCAAGGCCGAAGTTACCAAATGAGACAAAGAGAATGCTCAAATTCTTACTTGGTTTCACAATTCCATGCAACCAAGCATTGGTGTGAACACTAGATCATTACTTCCTAATTTAGCAATATCTGATAAAGTGGTATGGCTGCCTTCCAACACTGGAGATTTCACTGTTAAAACTGCTTGGGAAGCTAGTAGAGTGAAGAAAATGATTCAAACTTGGCATATGGTGGTCTGGTTTAGTAAAAATGTGCCTCGTTGGAGTTTTGTGGAATGGCTAGCTATTTTGGGTAGATTGACTACAGGGATAGACTGGTCAAATTAGGAGTTACTACGGAATATTTTGTGCGCTGTGTGTTAATGGTGTGGAGTCCCATTCCCACTTATTCTTTGACTATCCCTAATCTTCTGTTGCATGGAACTTGATTTTGCAAAGAAACCAAATTTCTAGGGGTCATATTGGGAAGTGGTGCAGATGTCTGCTCTTTCTTTCTAGGGGTCAGAAATATCCCTAATCTTCTTTATTTTATATTTAGCATTCTAGGTTAGGTCATCTGTCGAGTGATCATTTGAGGATATTAGTTCGGTCTGGACATTTAGGCAATTTTTCTATTGATGATATTTCTGAGTGTCGTGGTTGTAAATTGGCTAAAATGTCTGCTCTTCCTTTTAATAAAAGTAGTTCTATTTCATCTTCTCCTTTTCAATTGGTTCATACTGATGTTTGGGGTCCTTCCCCTATAGTTACCAAGGGTGGTTCGCAATATTATGTGTCTTTTGTGAATGATTACGGTCGATTTACCTAGGTTTATTTGATGACTCAAAAATCTGATTTTTACAAAATATATTCTAATTTTCACTCCATGATTCGCACTCAGTTTTCCATCACCATTAAAGTTCTTCGTTTTGATTTTGGGAGTGAGTAATTCTTGTCTGAGTTTGAGAAGTGTTTAGTTACTCATGGCACTATTCATCAGTCTTCGTGCTCTAACACTCCTGTCCAAAATGGTCGAGCTGAGCGCAAAAGTCACCATCTCCTTAACATGGCTCGCTCTTTGTTGCTCTCGTCTTTTGTTCCGTCTATTTTCTGAGGAGAAGCTGTGCTCACTACTACATATCTTCTCAATCGAATGCCTATTCCTCTTCTCTCAGGCTCATCTCTGTATGAGCGTCTTTTTGATGTTACTCCCAATTATTCTCTTCTACGTATTTTCGGGTCTGCATGCTTTGTGCTCCTTCCTAAACGGAAGTGCTCTAAGCTTAGTTCTCGTTATGTCCTATGTGCCTTTTTAGGGTATGCCATTAATCAAAAAGATTATCGGTGCTATGATCCTGCCACCAAAAAGCTATATGTGTCTAGACATGTCACCTTTTTAAAAAAACTACCCTACTACACGATACCTTACACCCCTGTCCCTATTACCAAGGATGAATTGGTTTACATTGACCCATTTCGCCCTGATGTTTCTTCCGATGAGTTTGTTTCTGATCGTGAGGTCTCTACTTTGCCTCATACTAACACTTCTGATATCTCGCCAGCTATTTCCTCTCCAGCTTCCACTTTCCCTGCTCCTCTTCTTGTTTATCAGCGATGCAAAGCACTTCCGAGCTCGCCTGTCTCTAGCTCTACTGTCCCTCCAGTTGTTTCTTTGGATCCCACTCCTCCTGCACATCGCTTTCCAAAGCGAGACCGTCATCCTCCAAACTGGTATGATTTTGGTAATACATGTTTTTTCCTTTCCTATCAGTCTTTTCTTTCTTGTCTTCATACTTATTTTATGCCCAAGTCCTACGAGGAAGCTTGTTATGACCCCAATTGGATAGCTGCCATGAATGACAAGTTAACTGCTTTGGCAAACACTCAGACTTGGGATTTGGTTCCATTACCTACTGGTAAGAATATTGTGGGTTGTAAATGGGTCTATAAGGTCAAAACCCTTTCTGATGGTTCTTTGGAACGGTACAAAGCTCGTTTCGTTGCCCAGGGCTTTTCTCAGGAGTATGGGATTGATTACAATGAGACTTTTGCCCCCATTGCCAAGATGACTACTATTCGTACTCTTATCTCTATTGCTGCTGCCCATCACTAGCCTTTGTTTCAACTAGATGTCAAAAATACTTTTCTGAATGGGCATCTTGCTGAAGAAGTGTATATGTGCCCTCCACCGAGTCTCTCTCACCCTTCTAGTATTGTTTGTCATCTTCGCCACGCTCTATATGGTCTCAAGCAGTCTTTTCATGCTTGGTATGAGCGATTTCACTCTGTTACACTTCAGTTTGGTTTTCGCCCTAATCATCATGATTGTGCTCTCTTTGTTCGGCGCACTTCTATTGGCCTTGTTCTCCTTCTCTTATATGTGGATGATATGATCATCACTGGCTCTGATTATAGTACTATTAAGCAGGTTAAGCATCAGTTATTTCAAGAGTTCAACATGAAGGATTTGGGGTCTCTTCGGTATTTTCTTGGTATTGAGGTTGCTACTTCTCCTACTGGGTATCTTCTCTCTCAGACTAAATATGCCCGTGATATTCTTTCTCGTGCCAATCTCACTGATGACAAAATTGTCGACACTCCTCTTGAGTTACATGCTAAGTTTTCTACTTCTGATGGCGTTCCTTTTGAGGATCCCACTTTGTACCGCGAGTTGGTTGGGTGCCTTGTTTATCTCACCGTTACTCGTCCGGATATGTCCTAGGATGTGCACATTCTCAGTCAATTTGTTTCCGCTCCTCGTGCCACACACTGGGCTACCTTACTCCATACTCTGCACTACCTTCGTGGCACCTTGCTGCAATGTCTGCTGTTATCTGCCTCTTCGGACTTGACTCTTCGTCCCTATGTTGACGCTGATTGGGCAAGTAACATCTCTGATCGCAAATCCACTTCTGGTCTT